TTGAACGACAATTCCTCTTAAAATATTGAGTATTGAGTGAAATGATAGCCAAAGAGTGGGAAGAGAAAGAGAGAGCAAAAACTTATTACATGTTTGTCTTTTCAATGATTTAATCAATTTTAAGACTGTTGTCATCAGAAAAAAAGGACAATAAAAACAATAATACGTTTCTCTCTATATTTACTATAAGAGAGCAAAAAAAATATATTTATCGGCAGATCTCATGATTGAAATGTTTTCTCATTTTTATTTTATTTTGTGTTTTTTCTTTGAAGATAAATAATTATTGATATTTCGTTTGTATTTGAGTTAAGTGTTTGTCTTTCACTCAAAATGTTTTCCAATTCAACAGATTTTAGAGCAAATTCTTTGCCCGAAAGATATTGCATTACATTGGAAAAGCGCACCGGTATGTACAATAGCCTTTCCGCTACACATGGCCGTGCCTAACACATATTCTTGCCATTGATGTAAAGTCCAGTAATCAAAGCAAATATTAATTGACAAATATATAGCTAGGTATGAGTACACATGAACTGGTTTACTCTATACAGAATATTCTATGTATGTGTATATCCAGTGCACAAGTAGTTTATATAATATATCAGAATTTATATGAAAGGATATATTGCTTACAATTCCCGTAATTCAGACAATCCTTCAAACGCTTTCTCCTCTAAATGAACCAAATTTTTGTTGCCTTTAAGACTCCTGTCGTCAATCATAATAAGTCGGAAAATATTATATGAAAATTCATTAATTATTAAATTCTTAATTACTATAATGTGGGCTTAATAATATATAATATAATTTATAATTTGTTATATAATATAAACAAAAGTTATATGATATGATATTTTTGAATAGCAATAAAATTCTTTATGTTTGTGTTAATTATATATAATTTAAAATAGCATGTATTTCTAATTATCCTAATGAAAAAGTATTATAAATTTATATGAAAGTAACAAAAATTATACGAAAGAATATTTTTAAATATACATATAATTATTAAATTTTTGTGTTAATTATGAAATATACTATATTTTAGCTAGCTTACAATTTGGCGATATGCGAGCCGTTGAACGCGTGGTTATACACCCTTTCGATGGCATTATAGTCGATATTCCTATGAAAATAAATACAATGTCTCGTAAAATAGTAACAAAACGTGTGTTTATATTATCAGTCAATCAATACATCGCACAAATTCATTGAATAAGGAAAAAGTGATGTTTGAAATAAAGTATATAAATATATTTTTAAATTAAAAACCAAATGTGAAGTGTATTTGCAGTACAAATCTTACTCCAAAAAAACTCATTGTTTTATTGATTTTGCGGCGCTTTTTGGAGAAATCAAAATTTCACGTCAAATTAGATATAAATACCGCGAGTTTTATATATGGGTTTTCAAGTGATTTCACTCATATATAAAATAAAATAGTAAATAAAATCGAAAACAGTGCCCCAGGTAATTTCAATAGGCAAACAAAACACAGTGTAAAGTAAACAGCAAATGTTTTAGAAAAATATCATTTTAGGACCCAATCGACTGCCAATGTGTTTGATATACAGTACATAATATATTTAAGGGCAATAAATCTATAAATAGATATACAGTTAGCACTCAAACCACTGGTGACCTAACTTTGTTGTCAATTGTGATCACCGTTTTCAGGCACATCTCTCTCTCTCTCTCTCGAGTATTTCAATCATAACCACACATCGAATAACCTAATCATCACTTGTGGATAACAGGTCCATTATTTTTCCATGCTCCCATTATCTACTATTGTCATAATAAGTGCTCGTCTTTTATCACTGTAAATGAGATGTCTGTCCATTTAATTACATCATAAATAAATTCCACAATTTTCATCAGTAGGTTTAAAAAATACTATTAAAACACAGATTCCTATATATCATTGAATTTCGTGTATAAGAAGTATTTAATATAAGGTTTCCATTATGGAAAATAACAATAAAGCTGTTAGCTATGTAATAAAATAGTTATTTAACGAATAATATGATATTTCAAGTGTAATACTATTATTTTGTATCATCTTATGGGTCATTATTAGATTTATTATCCGGAAGAAAATTCTTGACATTTTCACTAATAATATAAAACATTTTGCGTAAACATCTGTTGAACTGAATTTCGTAGTGTAATACTATTATTTTGTATCATCTTATGGGTCATTATTAGATTTATTATCCGGAAGAAAATTCTTGACATTTTCACTAATAATATAAAACATTTTGCGTAAACATCTGTTGAACTGAATTCCGAGAGAAGAAATAAGAAAAATAAAACTAAAAATTCTTAATAATTTTCGCCATACTTATATAATTTATGCTAATAATAATTACCTTATTATTATATTTCGTTTACGGTCTATTCTTAATTCGTAAAAGACCCCTGTCTATAAGTCGGTAATTACCCTAAAGTAACAATTCAGTTATCACCTCGCAAGAATTCAATTAAAGGTTTGATGGCAAGTCTGATCCGATTCTTTAAAAAGCGAAGTCTCAGATAAATAGGATCTGACAAAATCGTTGGTATTGGGGTTGGGATGCGAGTGAAGTGGTTGTGGAGTCAATGGGTGAGAGAGAAAGAGAGAGAGAGAGAGAGAGAGAGAGAGAGAGACTGGAGGCAGACATTGGGTGAGAGAGATATGTAAAAGCATTTGAAAGTATATATAACACATAGGAATCAATGAAATCGAAATGCAATGCATTGTTGACTCACAGGAATATTCTGCGAGCGAGCATTTCCCCTTTTCCCTCCCTTATCCGTAGCTAAAATAAGCGACAGCTGACGGACAGGGGTGGCGTATGAATGTGCTAGTGACGGAACTGAAATTACCTTACACTCTAATCCAATGCCTAGGCTAACGAATCGAAATCGCTGGTCGGCCCACAAGTAAAAAACGAGTGGAAAAGGAGTTTCGCAGACAAATAAACAAATACACAAAATCAGATTAATTTGATTTGGAAAAACACTTTTTACACTACAAGTGCTCCTAAAAACACAGTGTAATGCTATAAACACTCACATCATCTGTAAAATGCCATTACTTTTGGTGAACTCCATGTAATTCAATGCCATCGACTCTAAGCCGGTTTGCACTATACGTCTGTTGGGATCATAAGACTAACACTGTGTAATGCTATAAAAACTCACATCATCTGTAAAATGCCATTACTTTTGGTGAACTCCATGTAATTCAATGCCATCGACTCTAAGCCGGTTTGCACTATACGTCTGTTGGGATCATAAGACGCGAGCAAACATTCATTCAATTAATACCACCTTTTAATGTCATTAAGAGTGTACAGAATATTCTCTCACATAATCTTCAGTTCCGGGAATTTGCCCAAAAATACGCCCTGAGAGAGGTTTTTCAATGCCGGCGCCAGCTTTATATATCTGTGTTCACCCGGGGTATAGAGAAAAAAAACATATGTATAATCCTGTTCATGCAAATCAAATTAACAATACTAGCAGCGATAATAGAAATAATAAGCCATAGAATGTAAGCTAAACAAATAAATACATCACTAATTGAGCCATTGATTGGCATAATGTATGGCAAAAAGTAGTCTAATTCGGTGCACGACTTGAATGCCTATCCATGTATTATACAAACTTTTCGTGTGTTGTCTACCAGTCCTATGATTAATAAACATCTACTGGTCGTACATAATAGGGTTTCCGATCCCATTGTGCATCGCTTTATATATCATACTTCTCTCTACTATAATATTATAATTAAATTTAATATAATATTACTCCGAGAACTAGATCTTTATATTGAAAACATGAGTACAATTCGTGTGTACTGTACACACAATGAGTGCACATAAAAACAATGTCTACGCTAACAGAATATTCTGTATATTTTGTGTAATCAGATATTCTTTCGGTCATCTTATCTATGGGTTCACAGTATGTGTGGTTTCACTTCAAATGCTAAGAGAATATGCTTTTCTCATGTCATTCGGGGCATAAAAACTCAATACTAGTCGTACGGTAGTTGTAGTGGCGATAGAGTAATGTTAATAACGTTTGGATCAAATGAATTGAATTTTGTCTGTTTTGTGTCATCACTTACACGGTTCGCAAATGAGCCAAAGGGGAGAATACGCCCGATTCGATCAGATGTAGCCTTTCCATCGATTCCATGTATCTGTAAGGGAGAGAGAGAGAGAGAGAGAGAGAGAGAGAGAGAGAGAAATTAATTAGTGTTCAGTCCTTTTATGATCTCTATCTAACAACAAAATCATTTACAATGTTTGGTTTGATATGATATAAGTTATTATACAATATCATACAATAGTGTATTTTATTAGTAGTGTATAAATATCAAGATTATATAATATACTCACAATTCGGTCAATTGTGTGTAGTTTTTAAATGCATTCATTTCCAGCACTTCCATTCCCAATGATATTAAATGTCTAAAAGTAAAATTATTTCAACATATATTAAATTTAAAATTTTTATGAATTATAGTAAATTTTTATTAATAAACGTAGACTATATTTTAATAACGTAATATCCTTAGTAGTATTATATTGTAAATATTTTTATAATATAAGTTTTGTAAACTAATTTTGTCTACTTTTGTTATTGTTTTTCTCAAACATCATACCATAAATGCTTAGAAAACTTTATGAAAATTACTTTTGTGTACATAAAAAAACTTTTAGAAATGCAATATTTTAATCTCATACTGCATATGAATCCAGAATTTTATATTTGAAAAACTAATTTAATATGAAATACGCGAACAAATAGTTAACTAAAATTTATTATTATTATTATTGCGGGTATAACTCGAATAATAAATTATGTTTTATGTGAATTATTTATTTTGATTTTTGTATTTTTTCGCATTAATAATTAATACACATTTCATTAATTATTTTCATAGTTACCGACGCATACAATGCATTGTTTTCATTGAATTTCATACAACTGTATATAATATGATATAATACTTGAAAAGTAATTTCTCATTAAATTCTTAATTGAATTCTCATTAAATATATCAACAAATAGTTTTCAACAATATTTATATAAAATTTGTTTCTATCATTTCATAAGAAAAACCAATTTCTTAGAAAACTTTCAAAATTAAAGCTTATATTTATTTAAGATTAACTCAAATTGTGTACAGAATTTTGTTTATCACAGAATTGATAAAAATTCTTTGAAAACATTTTAATTTCTCAGAGAGAGAGAGAGAGAGAGACTTATAAAATGTGCATGCTAATTCTGTGTGCTTCGGGAAACCATATAATTGGCGACAATAATAATATCGCGACATTTAATCGCATTACTCGTGACTCCTAAGACATTATCTACACGTCATTCACGTGTCAGTGATATTAACTCCAAGAAGTCTGTGGCATATATTCAGTGATGCGGTCATCGCTTATCTGACTTATGGACTAAGTCTTAGTTTTTGGTCATTCAGACGGCAAACATTAAAACCCCAATGAATGCCATCTAAAAACATTTACTACTTATAAAGCGCTGGCATTTGACAGTAAACCCGGGCTTAAAAGGGTTACTATAGTCAACATAATTACAACTTTTTGAATGATCACTCATTTTAGTGGTTAAAAAGTTATATATCTATTCATTTTGACTAAAAGCCTACAATTAATGCAATTTAAAACTTCACTAGTACACATAAACTTAAAACATAGAATAAATAAATGTTTAATTAAATTAATTTCTGTAAATTTATATAATTACGAAAAAGAGATTAATTAACATAATATTCAATTCCAGTAAACTTTATAATGAAAAATAAAAACACATAATATTTTGTGTATACATTTATTTTGACAAAATATACAGTATTTATATACAGCTATCAAAAAATAAAAGTCCATTTTTAGACACAGAATTTAATGACTAAAATCTGGACTAAAAATCTCTTCTAACGGTTGACATACATCTGAATTGTTTCCCATGTTTTTTATGGGACTCTCGTAAAAAAGTAGACAAAAAATAAACAGATATATAGTGTTCACAGTTTCGATAAACGGCTAATTCCTGACAATCTCTCTCTCTCTCTCTCCATCACTTACTCACACTCTTATCAGACATACACTACTCCTAAGCCATAGGAATCATCAGAATATTCTAGCGATAAAAGTCACAAACTATGTCCAACAAAAAAAAGTTTTATGCACTTTTATAATATAAATAAAATATATTTCCCATTTCTAATGCATGCGTGAGATATGGAGTGTAAAAAAACAAATAAAAACAAATTTAGTCCCAAAAAAACAATCCCTAAATCAGCGCCTATTTTAACGATAGGCACATACAAACCGATGGGAAAGGGATCTCATAAGGGATGTAATGATTAATCGCTTCAATTACTCGCGAGGAAGAGAAAGGATGAGCTCTTATGCGATATAAATGTATTTAATCGCGAAAATGGTGAACACAACCGACTTTTTTTGGGCACCATTTCGTGGGGCGCCGTATGTCTCCTAAGCCACAGACGCCTAAACAGGCGCTCATTAAAGCGGAAACTTTATCGAAAGAAATACCAAATAATATCTCAGATTAACGTATCATTAATCTCGGTGCTTGAGAGCTACTGTTCCCCTTCAACTCCCTGTCCCCCTCTCTTTCCCAATGTTTTTTGTCTATTATATAAATTTTTTAATTTAAAAACTCTTTTCACAGAAAGAGTTGTTTGAAAATTGAGTCCAATACTAAGAACTCGCGGTTGAATTGTCTTGTAAATGGTATTATGGCATTTGAAACAGTGGGACAGGCTGTTCAAAATGGGAAAGGCATTTTGTCGGTTAGGAGTCGTTTAGTATTGGGGACAACAATAACAAGAATATTCTGTTGTCTGTGTGTTATTCTCCATAAGAATAATGAAAATCATTAGCGGAATTGCATTAAGAATTTTTTTCGGCTATAGTATTGTTAGTCATTTATTAATATATAAATAATTTTGTAATGATTTTTAAAAACCTCATTTCCAATGTTAAGCAAGATGTTCTTTGTGTTAGAAAAAATAATATTTTAATGTCCATAAAAAAGTAGTGTACACTTAATCATACTTTTATTACATTTATGTTAGAGAAAAGTATTATTAAATTATTTACACCGGCATTAAAGCGAATATAAAAATTGCTAAAAATTTAATAAATTCCTACACTTTGTATCACAAAAAATAAGTTAAAACAAAAATACTCGCAGAATACTGAATGCTTATCAATATATTTGTTTAACAAAAAAAATATTGAACATAACATAGAGTAAGTTTATGATTAGCCATAAATTTTTAAGGCATAAAAATGTATTAAATAAATAAAAAATATGTTTAGGCTATACATCGAAAATTGCTTTTATAGATAAAAAAATTATTATTTGTGTCAAATATTTTGGTTTCAAAATGTATTGAAAAAATATTTTCATATATTAGGCGAGAAAAAAGTTTTTCAAAAGCTCCGGGCATTCAGTCAGGTGTGTGCCTGTTAGTGCACCAGTACTCGGAAAGGTAGGTTGCATGAAACGGATAAATTATTTTGCCATGAATAAATAAAACTCATTTTTATGCAAATACCCCGTGAGCACCGGTACGTTAAGCCTTTTATGTAACTATATTATACACTCGTGGACCATGAATTAGTTTATATAATTTAAATACAAACTCTTTTGTATATCAAATACTAATGTATTCAATATTAGTATCGATTTTCAGCATAATTTCCAATTATATACTCAATTAAATGGAAATCTAATTTATAATCCCGCACATTTATGGCTCACAAAGTTTCACTTTTTAATATAAGTTTTAATATAATATATCTTAATAATTAGTTTCATTATTTATTTTCGAGCGATTAATTCCGATTATAACTAATTGACTTTTAAACATAAATATATTTATACATATTTCTCTCTAATGGCTTTGTTTCAGACATAAATATATCATATGTTAGCCTTATATAAATGTCATCTAATGTGGGAATATTTTATATACGAATAGTTTGTGTATAAAAATCAACAAAAATCTTTTAGCCATTAAAGGAATGAAAACTTTTTATTATTTGCAAAAAAAAATATTTTATCATAAAACTTTGAGTATATATGAATATTGCACATGATTTCAATCTACAAAAAGATTGTCTATTTGTATAATTTTGTATAATCTGATTATAAGTTATTATTATATTTATATGATGTTGAAATAATTCGCAAAATACCTACTAAATGCTCATTGAATATTTCTATTTAGTTATAATATAATATAATTTATTTGCAAATATTATTATTAAGAATTACAAAATATAATATTTTCAATAATTCTGAATAGGAATTTATTTGTATTCAGTTTAGTAAATATGAATTTGTATTGAATTGTTGTAAACTTATTGTTGGGTTTATAAATAAAATTTCTTAAGACTCGAGTAGTCGTTGTGTTTGGGGTTACAGGCATTGGGATTAAAGTTATTACTTATACACAGAATATTCTGTATTAAGAATATTGAATTGTAAATGTAATCCCACATATATCCACAATACATGTGACTTAACTCTACCCTGAATCTTATTTCATCTTTTTATATCTAGTTATCTAGTATATACAGTATACAGTATATTAATATTAACATCAATTAAATTAATATTTATTAATATTTCAACCGTAAAACTTGTAGTAGGCAAACTTTTTGGCTTACTACATATTTATATAGCGTACAATACGGTATACAGTACATATTGATAGTAAAAAATGTATATTTAGTTTCTACAGTATAAAATAAATCAGATTGAAATTGATCTGTTTTTATTTATTTAAAATCTATTAAACATTCAAATAGATGCATTAATGTTAATAACTTTATGTAATGTACTGTATATCTAAGTTTAGTATAAGTAAATTCTGAGCTATTTTATGATTTGATTTCATACACTTTACTGCACTATAATATTCATTGAATATATATATTCTCAAGAATTTTTGTTTTTTAACTAATGTTTAATCGATAGTAAGTTAACTGAACGCAGAGAGAGAGAGAGAGAGAGAGACAGAGAGAGAGAGAGAGAGAGAGAGA